CCATCTGCCTCTGCTGCAGTCTCTTGAATGTGGCTCCTGTTTGGCCTTATCATGGGGTTTCCATGCGGCTTCCTGCTGCCACAATGGTCTCTGGGGGCAGACGGCCCTTTCCGCTCCCTGGGTCCAAGGCAGGGGAAAGCTGGAGCGCCTGGCCTCGGGTTACAGTTGTACATGTGTCTGGATGAACCTGAGCATCGAGCTCTGGCTCCCGGCATCCCGGGCCCAATCCCCCCGTTGGATGCAGTGCTTGGCTGGGTGCCTGGCTGTAGCGTCCTGCGCGGAGTGGTTAAAAGCCACTGCTGTGGCCCAGCCAAGGGCAAGCACTCGGCACCAGAAGCAGAGACGAACGCAGCGTGCCAGAGCAGTTCAGCTTGGAGCACAGATGCCCCGGCGTCCCTGGGATGCTGCTGGTGACAGACCGGGCAGGCCATGAGCTCTGCCTCTGTTTCTGGGATTGGTTTTGGGAGTGGGGCTCAAGCCCAGGGCTTGTCATCTCATAAGAAAGTGTGGATCCTGACTGCTTTGGTGCTGTGGGTTGTGCCAGAGGCTTGACATGTGGCACGTGTCATGAAAATGCAGCCGGGGGTGTCGGTGTTGGGAGGCCGCTGTGTGCAAAGTGACTGGCACTGTCCTAACAAGTCAGGGGAAAGGGAGATCCCATACCCTGGATCCAGGGGGGCATATTGTTTTGAGCCTTCCTGCATAGGGAAGTTGCTTTTAAACGTAGCTGTCCAAAAGGCAAACAGCATGTTGGGGATGATTAAGAAGGGAATTGTAAACACTACGGAAAGTATCGTCATGCTGCTTTATAAAACCGTGGCGCATGCACACCCTGAATGGCCTGCCCAGATCTGGTCCCTGCACCTCCAAAAGGAGAGAGAAGAAGTATAGAAGGGGCAGAGAAGGGCAGCAAGGATGATCGGGGCATGGAGGGGAGAGACTGTGAGGCCAGAGGACAGACTACAGAGACCAGGCCTGGTCAGCTGGGAAAGGAGACACTTGAGGGGGGACAAGGGAAGGGTTTACAAAATACTAAATGGTGAAGAGAAAGTTGATAGGGATTTATTAACTTGCTCTGGCATTGCAAAGCCTGCCACCAGCAGCGGGCATGAGACTGGGGAAGCACTCCTGTGCCCACAGGCTCCTACTGGCTCAGCTTGGGTGGGGGGGTCCATGCAGTGATGGACAGCTGTGCTGGCAGGTGTGTGTGGTGGAGACATAGTCCTAAACTAGACTTCGGTGTAGCCCACCCAAAGGCAGCTAGTGTGCGACCCATGGGGACCCAGCCAGGTGCCACATGGGAGTCCCTTCCCTCCTCCCACCCACACCCTGGCACCCTTAGAGCCACCTCTGCATGTGGGCAGCTCAACTCCCAGACCCTGGGTTGAGCCGTGAGACCAGCTGGTGTGGACGAGGCTGCAGGTTTGTCCTGTGACTTGAGCACTGTGTGTGGCCGCGTCTCCATCCAACGCAGCATCGCTTGGGTGGTCGCACAAGACCTGTGCGGTGTCGGTGGTACCCTGGTCTCTGCTGGGCTTGTTGCAGGCTCTTCAGTCCTGCCTCAGCCGCCTGGGTTTAGAAGTGGGGGGTCTCAAGCTTTCCCCTGCTGTGTCCATGCAGCCTGGATGAGACCTTCCCAGTTCCCCTCCCAGCTGTGGCCATGGGGGATGCATAAGGCTGGCGAATGGCTTTCACAGGGGCATAGAGGGGCAGTGAGGACCAGGCATATAGCCCCCACCCTCCAAACCAGCCTGTGCAGGGTGGGCCAGGCCTCAGTCGCACCAGTACCCGTGCCTTCCTGGAAGGCTGCAGTCGGGTCTGTCACCATCGAGGTGTAACGTCTGCTTATCTCTCCCGACGAGCGAACGTGTTCTTTTCAACTGGCTCAACGGCAGCACGCCCGACATGTAGAAAATGCCCCGGTCCCTCTGTCTTCTGACATCCTCAACCCCAAAGCAGACGGGCATGATGAGGCAGGAGATGCGGGCATTAATTTTTTATGTGCTCGGCCCACCTGAGCAATGGGATTCAATTACAGCGGCCCCTTTCCTCCCCCCCCCCACCGTGCTAATGCGACAGCAAAGGGACCTGTTGAGGAGAAACCCTATTTCTTGGCGTGACCCCCTGGATAATTAGGGTTAAATTGATATGCTATCGCGCCGGCGACACGCGTTATCTGCCTCTGTTTGTACAAGGGGACACAATGGCGGAGGAAGGACCAATTTGTGCCCCGCTCTCGCTAACCAGCCCCAGATAAAAGGTGTCACTGGCGCGATAACGTTCCCACCTCGTGCGCCTTTATTGTTGCTCAATTTGCTGGTCTGTGTTGTGTTGTGTTTTTTTTTTAATCCCATTCTTTCTCCCTCTCAATACCCTCGGCCATATTTTAACTCCATGCCATCGCATAATGATGCCCTGCTCAATGTGTGTGCAGATAGGCGACGGGCTGACAGCCTTCCCTGATAACCGAATTCCTGCCCATCCATCACTGGCCTGCTCTGCCTTAACTTAAGGGAAGTGATAACTAAAGCACGGCCGTTTATCACCGTCTTCCCTCCCCGGCTCGGCTTCGAGGGAGGGATCCAGCCATGTGACCTCGCCTTCCATTTGCATGCAGGGCCGTGAGGGGAAATGGAGCCTCCCCCGGGTGCGGGGGAAAACGGAGCTGCCTGCCCTGTCATGGCTTTGCAGCCTGTTCTTTAGCCCTGGCAGCCCCGGTCTGCCCCAAACCTGCCCACCTGGGAGCAGGTGGGGTGCATTGCTGGCTGCCAGGTCCCTGCTCTGTCCATGATGCCGGGAGCTCTGGCATGTCTCGACTGGGGGCAGATGGATGCAAAGTCCAGGCTGGAGTGGGCACGTCCGGCAGGCTTTGCGTGCAGGAGCGGTGGTGGGGCTACTGTAGGAACCGGTTGGGGGTGAGGGAAGCTGAGGCTGCTGCGCGGTATCTTGGGTGCACAGTGCTGGCCGGGGCCTCCCATGCCAGCGAGTCCCCACGCTACCCTCCGTCGCAGCCGCAAGGAGTAGTGCCCAATACCTCTTTGCTGCTGCCCAGAAAGGCAAGTCCTGGGGCCCACACTCAGCAGAGCACCTTAGTGGCCTCTGCACCGTGATGAGCTCCCCGGAGGCTCCATCTCTCAGCTATTCCTAGGGCTGGGCTGGAAGTGAAGATCCATCGTGGTCCGCCCAGCCTGGCAGGAGCTGACCCATTCAGCAAGACGGAGACAGTGAAGGGCCAGAGCTGGCGTGGGCTGGGGGCGAAGAGACCCTGCTCTGCCCTCTAAGGCATCCCATGGAAACAGGTCTTGCAGTTAGCATCCTCCCTTGCTGACGGCATCCTCTGGCCAGCAAGTGGAGGGCAGGCCAGTGCTGCAATAACGGCTCTCCCCGGGGCTTATACAGTGCAGTGCTCTCCCTCCCTTGCAAATACATCGTGCAGGGTCTGAGGCTGCTCCCAGCCTGGGCCTTCCAGCTCCGGCTGTGGGAGCCTGCTCTTTTCAGTCCCGAGGTCCTGGGTTTGAACCCCACCCAGGAGCACAGTGCCTCACACGCATGGTCTTGCACAGGGTTGTTGTTGCTGGTGCTAGGGGAACAGGGGCCTGCAGGGGACCAGAGACTTCCTACGTCTGTGCTGGAGCTGGGGAGAGCGCCCCGGTCTCCTAATTCTCTGTCTGTTGACTCTGGAGCCACGGGGCAGTGGCCCTTAGGGAGAAGTCACTGCCAGGTTCGTTTGGCCACGAGGAAGTGGAGTACTCCATTGATTTGGCCCTGGGCTGGGCCCTGATGCCCACCTCCTGGCTCAAGCTGGAGCCCAGCGCATAGCAAGGTGCCCACGGGCTTCACGCTCCTGTCAGGTCCCTTTGCAGTAGGAGAGCCGCGGTCGCAGTGAGGGAGTGCCAGATGCAGCCCCTGGGGAAGGTCCCTTGTTCTGGGTGACTCTTTGTTTAACCCATTTCTGTTTGGGGACACGTCCTTCCTGAAGCACCTTCCCTGGGGCTGCGTCAGGGACACCCCAAAAGTGGACGGAGCAGTTGTGTCTAATGTGTGATTCCCAGGATGATAGAGCAAGTGTCCCAGGTGGCTCTAGCATCGCGCGGGCCTCAGTGGGGGAAAAAGGGCTTGTTGTGTGGCTGGGAGCATGGCTGGCCTGGAGGAGAGCGTTGCCGCCTGTGCCGCTGTTGGGAGATACCTGCTGATGCTGCTTCCCCATGGAGCTACTGGCAGGACCCAGTACCGACAGCTCTTGTGCGCTTCCTTCCCCGCGCTTGTGCTCGCTGCCTGCACGCACATGCACACGTATGTGCTGCACTTGCACATTGTACACCGACTTTGCAAAGGGCACTGCCAGGCAGGGACCCCAGGACACTCTCCCCCAGCTTTTCAGGCCCAGCTCCTCCTTGCAGTGTTTCTTTCCAGGCAGCACCTCCAACCATCTCAGTTCCTTCCTGGCATCTGTCTGTCTGTCTGGGCTTCCACCTGTCCTAGCATGGCCACCCCGTCTGCAGAGTTGCAGCCTGTTGTACATAAGCAGCATGTGTTCCTCCCTCCATCCCTGGTCCCCACTATCAGGCAGAGTAAGCATGGGGTGGTCATGGCTGTGTCACCCATGTTTGGAGGCACTGCAACCTGCCAGCCCTGTCCCTGCCTCCAGGATGTTCCCTGGGGTAGGGTGCTGCCCTGATGACACACATGGTTAGTTTGTGCCAGCCCAGCCCTGACTCTCCTCGTGGTTGGGGAGGGGAGCCACGAGTTGGTCTTAGTGCCGGCAGTGTGTGCCCATTCGAATCCCACAGTTGCTCCCAGCTGTCTGGCAGCCCGGGGGTATAAGCAGCCCCCGCCGGGCCCTTGGGAGGAGCTTGCCGGGCACCCCATGAAGTGCAACCTGTTGCAGCCGACTGGAGGCTCTCGTGGCCTCCTTGGCCCCGCGGGCACCGAATGCAGCATCGTGTGCATTGTTGGGGCGCAGTAATTGAATCCAACCTGCTCTCTCTCTTCTCTTACAGGTTACCAGGACAATGCCAGTACTTAGGGCTGCCGGTGGCCGATTACTTCAAACAGTGGATTAATCTGAAAAAGGTACTTCTGTGCAACGCGCCCTGGTGCCCCCTTCCTTTGCTCCCTCCCCCCACCCTTGCTTCCAGGAGGCGTCTAATAACCGCGGCTGTTTTGCATTGAAATGAGGAGTTATTTTCTCGGAGGCTGGGCTGCGCGTGCCCTCCCCCGGCTCCCCATTGTGTCCCCGCTAATAGAGTCTTACTGTACTTGATGGAATGTGCTCTGCAGCTGGGGAGAACCCCTTTGTGGCCGGCACGGCGCTGCATAATCGCGCGCCGGCTGGGGTCGTGGCAGTCAGCACGTTGCTAATGCTGGTTGCTTCCCAGGCACCTGGGGATCCTGAGAGCCAGTGTTCCCCGTGGCTGGATCAGGGAGCCTGGAAATCCACTGGAGAAAGAGTCTAGTGGGGCTTGTTTGCTTCTTACCAACATGGCAATATCGTGTCACCCCGTGGCCGATGCCCAGATCCGGCTCGGAGCACCCCCTCCTGTGCTGTGTTGTGGGGCTGTCCAGGCAAGCACTTGCTGTGCTCTGCGTCCGACTGGTTCAGGAATAACCCGGGGGGGCTTCAGGAGATCTCTGGCTGCCGGGAAGGGGCCGTTACATTGTGGGAGGCCAGTGGTGCAGGTCAGAGTGGGAGGGGAAGTGTCGGGACCTTGTACAGGTGGCAGCTGGGGTGAGGTTTAGGGGGGGGCTTTGGGAGCCAGGGTGCAGCATCTCTGGTTACTGCCCCCGGCCTGCTATAACGAGGGGGCCGGGGGTCTGAAATCCCTGCCAACAGTGCTCTCCGCTTTCAGGGTCCCCTCTCATTTCTTTAAACGCACGTGTCGCTGCGAACGCGAGCATGAGTGACAGGTCGGGGCCGCAGCAGAGGGACAATTTGCATGATCTGCTTCGTCAAACAGGGGAGGCCGGGGCCATGACGAGGGATGCTGGCAGCGCGTTCCCAGCTGAACCCGTCAAGGGGATCTTGCCTTCCCCGCTGTCAGAGCAAATCTCGTAGCTCGTTGCCGGGCCTCCGCAAATGAGATCTGAAAGCGCGCTGGGGCATTCTGCAGTTCAGTGACCATTAATGATCGTTGCTTGAAGTTCACTAAACTTCTGGCGCATGGATAGCAGCTCCATCACCGGCAGGGTGGCGGTGGGCGCAGAGGAAACATACGGCTCTCTGTGCCGCAGCACGGAGTATCGCTGGATGGAGCCCTCTGCTGGGGCCCACCGCCCCTGAGCTAGGGCCATTTGCAGTGGTTTTCCGCTACTGGGTTTAGCACGCGGGGAGCTGGGATTCATCCTAATTCGCTTAGACTTGGGCTGGAGCTAGGCTTTCACGTGGGTTGCTGCAGCTCATGGCGCTGTCTGGCGGGGCGGTTTGGGTGTCAGTCATGCAGGCATGAGAGGGACGTGCTGGAGAATGGCTCAGTGCTTCTTACAGTCATGGGCTGGCTGCACAAGGGAGGGCAGGCCTGGCTGTGCCCAGGACCTTGCTGAGCTGCTTTTAGGAGCCAGACTTGTGACCTGAGTTTCCTGGAATGAGGATCCCAGCTGCCACTCCTGCCCCCTGCTCTGATGGGTGTCTCTGCCTGGGTCTTTGACTCAGGGATGGGGTGCTGGCAGCGGTCAGCAAAGCCATTTAGGCACGGCTCCAGGTGGCACGGGCTCATCCAGCAGGACCCTAGCTGACCCTTCAGCACCCTCGCTGGCACGGCTCTGGGTGGCCCGGGCTCATCCAGCAGGACCCTAGCTGACCCTTTGGCACTGATGAGAGCTGGCCGGACATGCAGCCCTGGATTCTCGTTCCCACCTGCTCTGACCGAGGCCTTGTGGCTGCCCGGGCGTGGGTGCCGCTAAAGGCAGCTGGAGGTGGAGGTTGTGCTGGTAGGGGTTGGCGTTAGGAGGAGGAAGGGAAACGTCAGCTGTGAGTACTAGCGGGAGAAGAGTAGCAGTACACCTGGAGAGCAAGGCCAGCGTGGGACCAGTTATTTGGGATGAGCACGTGAGGATGCGAGGGGAGTTCCCCAAGCGAGGGTGGAGAGCAGGAGGTGGGTGAGTGGTTCCTGTACCAAGGACCCGGCCCCATGCCAAGACAGCAGCAAAGCATAGGAAATAAGAGTCACAGAGTCGTGGGCTGGCAGGGAGCTGTGGAGCCCTGCCTGAGGAAGGATCAGCCCTGTCCAAACCAGCCCAGACAAACCCTGTGTCTGATCTCTGAACAACATGACACAGTTGCCCCTGACATAGCCCCAGGCATTGCTCCCACCCCTGCCCCCGGGAAAGCAGGGGGGCCGCGGCTGCCAACGTCCTGCTGCTGCCAGGGGGGTTCATGGATACTCCAGAGATCCCAGGCCGAGGCCGTGTCTCCGCTGCAGAGGAAGGCAAAACCTCCCAGTCTGGACCAGTTTGAGCAGGGGGGAAATCTCTTCCTGCCCCAGTGCAACGTGAGGCTGAACCTGAGCGCAGGGGCAAGACCCTGCGAGGTTGGTGCCAGCAGCTGCATTGGCACAGCCCAGTCCCATCCCCAGCCTGGGCTGCGGCCAACACCCAGCGCCTCTGGGGGAGGCTGAAAAACACCCTGACGTGTAGTAGAAAGCGGGGAGGGTGCAACCAGCAAAGCCCAGAAGCCCAGTATCCCCATAGCAGAGCACAGGCATCGCTGCTCCTAGATCATCTCCACCCTGCGGCTGTCCAGCCTCTCCTTGAACCCCTGTGGTGACGGAGAGTCCACAGCTTCATTCCCCAGACGCAGCTTTCTGTGGCAGCGCTGGCTGTCCCTTGTCCTGGGCCCAGCCTGGTCTTGGTTGAAAGCTCAGTATCCAGGGACCTTTCTCGTTGCTGGATCTTGCTGGTGGGGCTTGCTGAAATGTGTGTTGTGGTGCGGGTCCCCAGCAGGGAGGAGCAGCCGCTGCCTCAGGAGCTCACAGCCAGACCCCAGCACTGGAAAAGCAGCCACCCTCCGCCTGGAGCCTGGGAGGCCACAGGGCCCTGTAGTGTCCAGAGAGGTATTTGGCCCTGTTTTGCTCCCCGGTCACTCAGCAGTGCAGCGTTCCCTTCGTATCCATCCAGGCACTGGGTGCACAGCTGCGCTGGACCGGCATCGCCACGGGGCTGCCACGCTCTGCCCCTGTCCAGGCTGGGCGGCTGGGCTGCGGCTCCCACCTTCCACTCCCCATTCACTCCCCAGGATAAGAGAAGCTGGGAATGGGACTGTGCTTGTGGGACCCTCACAGCCCCTGCTGGAAGAGGCTTGTCCAGCTCCCCTTCCTCCCCAGAAAGGCTTTTGGGATGCAGGGTCATTTTTAGGGCAATGAAAGGAGGAAAATCCCCTTCCTTGCAGCTGATAGAGTCGGCAGAAGTTTTGTTCCCCTCCCCCCAGCCTGCTGATGTGCCGTCCCCCCCGCCCCAGCCCGGCCGGCGCTCGCGGACGTTTTTAATGTCACTGGGCGATCTCGTCTCTCCAGTGAGCTGTCAGCGGCGCGAGGACTCGGGGCAGGGCGCTCCACGCGCTCTTTGCTCCGATTAGCTCAGCGCTCGGGGAGGCCTGCCAAGGAGACGCACACCGGATATCTCCCTGCCCCCCCCGGTGCGGAGCGTGCTGAGAGCCAGCAGGCCGCCTGCCGTATGCTGGTGTCAGAGCCTCTCGTGTTGATGGGCAGAGGTGCTGCGGGTCAGGAGCGAGGTGCATTAGCAGAGCTCTGCGCTCCCTGCTCCCTGACAGCGTCTGCGCAGCCGGGCTGAAGGACAGAGCCGTGTGCGTCGGCGGGGGGATGCTGCAGGGAGGGCCCAGGGTGGGCTTGACAGGTGCCTGCATGGCTGGGGACGTGGGCCTGGGAGCAGGGGGTCTTGTGGTGGCAGTGCTGGGCTGCTGCGTTCCCTCCCCTCCTCTCCAACATCCACCCAAAGTACGGACGACAATCTTGGGGTGGTTTAGACAGATCGGGGACCTGCACTCAGTGTCACTCTGTAGGTCTTTCATTGCTTCGCCCCAGGCCAATGGTTATGTGCTTCTCCCACGCTACGGGAGTAGGGTCTGGGTGGTGACAGACCTTGTCCATCAGCCCGGGCACCCTCTCCACACCGAGCCCTCTGCATGAAGGGCTTAGAGCCGGAGTCGTGGTGAGTTGTGGCTCGGCGCCACCAGATATCTGATGGGAACAAAGACCCTGTCCTGGAAAGGGGGAGCACAGCACTCAACGTGGCCTATGAGGCACTGCCGAAGTCACTGGCAGATCAGGTTGGAAATGGTGTGTGGGTCTAGCGAACATGACTGGTGAGGAGAGGCTGAGGGACCTGGCCTTATTCAGTCTGCAGAAGAGAAGACCGAGGGGGATTGAACAGCAGCCTTCACCTCCCTGCAGGGGGGCTGCAAAGAGGACGGAGCTGGGCTGGTCTCCGTGGGGGCAGATGGCAGGACAAGGAGCAATGGGCTCAAGCTGCAGCAAGGGAGGCTTAGGTTGGATATTAGGAAAAACTCTCTCCCACCAGACAGGTGGTGCAGTCTCCATCCTTGGTGGTGTTTAAGACCCGGATAGACAAAGCTTTGGCTGGGATGATGTAGTTGGGGCTGGTCCTGCTGTGTGAGGGGCTTGGTCTAGATGTGACTCCTGAGGTCCCTTCAACCCTCATTGCCTAGGATTCGGTGATTCACGAAAGGCAGCTGAGCCATGCAGGGTGGGAGCACTGCCCGGAGAGGTGAGGGCTTGCACCAGCACCAGCAGTACAACAGGGTGGGAGAGACATCGAGACCAGTTACCCAGGGAGAAGCAATGTGTCCACGCTGTTTGAGGCACCCTCATCCTTGGCTTGAGCAGGGAAGGTCTGAGGGGAGCCAGGGTGGGCAGCTCGGAGGGGACGAAGGCCAAGGTAGTTGTGTGCGAGGAGGTGAGGAAGCACTGGGGAGTGCTGGTTTGGGGCACCCAGGTTAAGGTTGCAGAAGCTCTGGGGCCTGCACACCCGGCCTCAGCCATGCCGCCTCCTCCTCGTTCTTGCAGAGCAGTGATTCCCAGCCGGGTGCTGCGGCACTTTGG